GGGGCTGGGGATAAATAGTTCTTATCAGCCTTCTAATCTCACTGTCTTCCCTTGCCAGCAGGAATGAGGTGTCAGCAGGAAAAGCTGGACAGCCAGAGGGTGCAGGGGGTGGGTTGGGGGTCACTCAGTGACAGCTCTCAAAAGAGCTGTATCTCCCTGACCTGCCAGCCACATAGCCCACACAAGAGCCCGTGGGACCACACAGGCAAGTAGTGGACACTTCCTGGCCCAAGCATAGCGGGATGACCAAGGAGAAGGAGACAGGCCTATGATACCTCGGCCCGAGGGTTCACCTTCTCTCAGGCACCTTGCAGACCTAGAGCAGAAGTGATAACAAGGAGTGCCACAGCAGTAAACCTAGGAGCCATGGCATGGAAAGTGTGGGTGAGTCCATTCTCTGTAACTCCACCAGGCCTCCCTGGGTACAGGACCCTCTCCATCTCCTTGGGAATCCTTGACTCAGCCTTGGGTTTCGCACACCCTATAACGGTGGTATAGCCTCCAGCCTCCCAGCAACATGCAAGCCACCATAGTAGGACAAACTGACTGACAAGTGGTGGAAGAAAATTATGTCTCTATGACGATTCCATACTATAAATCCAATCCACATTGTATGATTACAACTATATGACATCTTGAGAAACGCAAACCTATAGGGACAGGGATAAGACCAGTGGTTGCCAGGAGTTCAGGGCTGGGGGATCAACAGGTGGTTCCCAGGGCATTTTAGTGCAGTGAAACCATTCTATGTGATAAGGATGGACACATGTCATTATGCATTTGCCAAAACCCACAGAGCACTGCAGCACAGAGTGGGCACTGATGTCAGCTGTGCAGCACAGGGAATGAGCACTGGTGTCAGCTATGGACTTTAGTGACTAATAAGGCATCAGTATTAGTTTATCAACTGTAACAGACACTCCATGCAAATGTAAGATGTTGTAATAGGGGAGACTGTGGGGGAGCAGGAGGGAGTATTTAGGTACTTTCTGTACTTTCTGCACAATTATTCTATAAACTTAAAAATGTTCTGAAAGCTAAAGTCTATTTAAAAAGTAAGTTAAAAAAAAAAAAAAAAAACTCCGACAGTCCTACTGTTTGTGAGATCCATCACTGCCAATGTTGGACCCTCCCATCAATTATTGTACTGCCAGGGAACATTCCACTGTAAGGACGTATCACAAGTCACTTCACTCTCCTCTCAGTGGACACTTGGGCTGTTTCTAGGTTTTGCTATCGTGAATAATGTTGCCATTGAAAAGAAAGCTGACGGATCCATGTGTTCAGAGGAGGGAGATCCTTCCGCAAACAGCGTCTTCAGGCCACGTACCCCCCACCCATTTCCCTGCCCTCTCAGAGGGCCATCGTGCACTGGCTTAGGAACCCAGAGGAACAGGACACATGGCACTCCCCCCGACAGAACGAGGTGCTTCTCCCTACCTGCTGTGGGGTGGCTCGCCCGCGGGAGAAGGAACAACTGCTGACCAGCTGCTCACTGCAGTCTGCTGTCCACTGTGGAAGAAAAGGAAGGGTCAGTGATGGCAGGACACATGGTTCATCTGCACTCTGTTGGCCTCCCTGGTGTGGCCCTGCCACCTGCAGTACAGCAGGCTCTGTCACTGAAAACCCTGCTTAGCCATTTTCAATGGCAAATCCTTCCTCTGAACAGGTTGGAGCTGGCTTCCCCAAACTCCACCTTTCATGTTTGCTAGGGGTAGGCAAAGGCGCCCTTGTGGCTCAATGGTTATGCTAATTGAAAGGCAGGCAATTAGGAGCCACCAGTGGCTCCATGGCAGAAAAGACCTGGTGACCGGCTCCTGTAAAGATGACGGCCTGAGAAACTCTATGCAGCAATTCTATCCTGTCATATAGCATCTACTAAATCATGTCATATAGGGTTACTAAGAGTAGAAAGGGAGCCCTGGGAGAACAGCAGTGATTAAAGTACTTGGCTGTTAACCAAAAGGTTGGTGGTTCAAACCCACCAGCCACTCCCTCACTTTCTCACTGCAGGAGAAAGATGTGGCAGTATGCTTCTGTAAAGATTTAAAGCCTTGGAAACCCTATGGAGCTGTTGTTCTCTGTCCTATAGGGTCGCTATGAGTTGAAATTGACTTGAAGGCAGTGGGTTTGCTTTTTATTTTGTGTGAGTCAGCACTGACTCCGTGGCACAAGGAGGGCAAACTCATTTTCTTCACTTCAGCCCAGCACAGTGATGGAGAGCCAGCCACAGTGCAAGGTCAACCAGACAGGGCAGTCATGCGGAAGTCTGGACACTATGCTTGGCCACCTGGGCTAGCTTCAGCCACACTAAGCCAGCTGCTATCACGTCAATTCCTCACAGGGACCCCATGTGGGTCAGAGTAGAACTGTGCTTCAGAGTGTTTTCAATGACTGATATTTCAGGAGCTCACCAAGCCTCCTGGGGCACTTCCCAAACCTAACTCACTGTCATGGAGTAGATTCCGATTCATAGAGATCCTCACTGAGTTTCCAAACTGTAAATCTTTAGGAAGTAGTACATGGCCTCATCTTTCCTCTGTGGAGCAGATGGTGGGTTTGAACCACTGACCTTTTGGTTAGCAGACGAATGCTTTAACCACTATACCACCAGAGCTCCTTCAGGGGCACCTCTAAGTGGGTCAAATCCCAAGTGTTGGGTTAGTAGCCGAGAGCTTAACCATTTGTGCCATGCTAGCCTATCACTAGTTGAAGCTTGAGATGAAGCAGGTATGTATCTTCCTGTATACCAGCTCCGAAGGCTGATAACCTGTGTCTTGCCAGGACAGCCTGGAATCAACGAAAAACCTGAGAATGGCAATCAGAAACCAGGCTGAAGCCCTGTCTCTCCACTCACCCTGTGAGCACTCAGAGGGCTGGTGTACACCCCAAAGTATGGTCTGACAATGACTGTGTGAGACTCTCCCAAGAGTCTGCCCACCCCCACTCACTGACTTGGAGTATCTGAGGGTGGGGCCTGAGCATCCGAATTTCGACAAGCTTCCCCACAGGGACACTGGAAGTTTGAGATCCCCTGAAATGCATGTGACCTCCTGGGCTTCATTTCCTCATCTATAAAATGAGGACAGCAATGCTGGGTGACCCTGCAAGGTTGACATGAACGTTGATAAACTATAAAACGCTGTAGGGATCTGAAGTAGCAGCAGGATTATGACCCTGCCTCTGTAAAGGGCCATGTACATATGCAGTGGTATTTTCATCATTGTGTTAAACATTAGCTAGCCTCTCGGGCTAATGTGTTGAACATTGACCTTAACCTACTCTCTGTGATAGATAAAAAGCAGAAGCCCAGTCTTTGTATATTCAACACACCTGCTCAAAACTGTTTGCAGTGCTGGCTTCAGGCCAGTGCAGTCTTGCCTTTGTAAAACCTTGGCTGGACATGCCCCCGACAGTGGGTCAAGGGCACGGCCTTTGTACAGGAGAGAAGTTTTATTACAGTGCTGAGGACACAGGCTGGGGACAGTACTTTAGAACAATGCTGTCCAATTGAAATGAAATGACAGCCACAAATAAGAGTTGCAGGTGAAATGCAAAGTTTCCTGGTAGCCAGATTTTTAAAAGTAAACAAAAATAAAAGGTGAGATTAATTTTAATGTCATGTTTTATTTAACCTAATATATCCAAGACATTATCACTTCAACATGCCATTATATAAAAAGTAATCAGCTAGATATTTTACATTCTTTTTTTTTTTTTTTTTTTGCATAGTAAGCCTTTGAAATCCACTTAGGACACATCCCAGTTGGGATTGGCCACATTCCAAGTGCTTGAGAACCATATGTGGCTAGTGGCTACTGCATGGAACAACACAGTTTAGAGAAATGGCAAAGGGGGGACACCTGTCCTGGGAAAGTCATCTCTCAGACCCACATCCTCCTGTCCATCCCTGTTCTGTATGGAAGACGCTGACACCTGCAAACTGAGATGCCCAGATTCCTCTGTCAGCTGGCTTCCGCTGGCCTCAACCAATGGGAGGCAGGATGAAAAGAGAGGCCAGGGTATTTCTCCCTTCTCTGTGCCTCAGGCAGCATCACCACCTAGACTGGGTCTCCTTCCTGGCTCCAGCCCTCACCAGGCCTTCTGTCATATGACCCTGACCCTGGCCTCTGGCAACATCATCTCTTCCCTTTGTGCCTGAGGCCTATAGGTAGTAATGGCTTCCTGCAGTTGCTAATGTCTGGGTTGATTAGCTTCTCCACTCTTTTTTTTTTTTAATACATTTTATTGAAATATGATTTATGTACAGTGAAATACACAAAACTAAAGTGACGTGGGTCAATGCACTCTTTTTTTTTTTTTTTTTGCAGTGTTCCCTCCCCTCCCCTTCCAGCTTCTCCACTCTTTTATCTAGTGGGAAATCAGTTCCCTAGATTAAATTCCTTCTGCTAAGAGATTTGCAATCTCAAAGTGTCTCCTCCATGCTATTACTTACAAAGGGAAAAATAGTAACTTTACAGTGGAGAAATCCATCAGACATCATCTTAACCAAGTAATCAAAGTTAATATAACAGTAATAAAACAGATAAAAACCCAAAAACCAAACTCACTCCCACTGAGTTGGATCGGACTCATAGTGACCCCTCCTTGGGTTTCCAAGGCAGTATATCTCTACAGAACTAGACTGCTCAATCTTCCTTCCGAGGAGTAGCTGGTGGGTTTGAACCGCCAGGCTTCTGGTTAGCAGTCAAAGGCCTTAGGCACTACGCCACCAGAGCCCCTGCTAAGACAGACATCTTGCCTTCTCTGGCTTGATGTGCTGGGAGGGCCACATGACTTCTGAACCAGTCTTACCAATAATGCATGAAAGTACAGTTGCCATCTAGTCAATTCTGACCCATGGAGACCCCGTGAGTGTCAGAGTGAACTGTGCTCCACAGAGTTTCCACTGGCTGATTTTTTAGAAGTAGATTGCCAGGCCTTTCTTCCCAGGTGCCTATGGGTGGACCTGAATTGTCAACCTTTCAATTAGCAGCTTAGCACATTAACTATTTGCACCATCCACATCTAATCATGAGAAAACATCTGACACTCCAAAGCGAGGGACATTTAACAAAATAACTGAATCACTATATTCTACACAGTAACTGAAGAGTTCTTCAAAAGTTCTTTCACGACCTTAATGGTCACATTATATATAATGTTTGTATATTAATTTCATGACCTTAATGGTCATGAAAGACAAGAAAACACCAAGAAAGTGTCACAGATTGGAGGAGAATAAAGACACATGATAAATTAAACAAAGATTGGATCTCAGAACAGAAAAAGGATGTAAGTGGTAAAAAACAGTAAGATCAAAACAGAGTTTCTAATTAATTGTATTCTACCAATGTTAGCAATCCCTTCTTGGGTTTCCAAGGCTGGATCTCTATGGAAGTAGATTGCTCAGTCTTCCTTCCAAGGAGTGGCTAGTGGGTTTGAACCGCCAGCCTTCTGGTTAGCAGTCAAATGCCTTAGGCACTACGCCACCAGAGCTCCCAATGATAATTTCTTAGTTCTGATCATTGTACTTTGGCTGCATAAGCTGTTCATATTAGTGGAAGCTGGGTGACAGATACATGAGAACACACTGTACGATTTTTGTACCTTTGTACCTGTGTACCTTTGCTTCAAGTCTAAAATTATTCCAAAATAAAAAGTTCTATATATGCATACATATATGTATTTGTATGTAGGTATGTGTAGGTAAGTGGGTGGGTAGGTAGGTAGATAGATAGACACACGTACGTATTATATATAATGTTTAAACCGTTGTTGTTAGCTGCTGCCGAGCTCCTAACGCATGGCTACTCCACGTGTTACAGAATAGAACTGCTCCATAGAGTTTTTGTGGCTGTAATCTTTATGGAAGGAGTTCACTAGGTCTTTCATTTGTGGGGCTGCTGGGTAGATTCGAACAGCTAACCCTGGGTTAGCAATCAATTGTTTAAACTACTGTTAAGAAAATCC